ATGCGTGGAAACCGCAGATCTTGGTGCAGCATGAAAACCCGGACAGGGATGATGTTGGGGTCGCAAAGGTGGTTGATGAAGCGGCTGATGTTCCCGTAGTAACGGGCATCGATGCAGTACACCTCTCCATCCTGAGGTCAAGGACGTCACTGTTTCAATCTCCCCCACCCTGCTTGTCAATCCAACTACTAGTGACCACTCCCGACCAGATTTCCATCTGTTGACCTCCCAGGGTCACCAGGAGCCTGGCCACGAGGGATGTGGGATTGGGAGAGGGGCAGAGGGGGTTTCTGCCCACCTTGTTGTCCAAATCGAAGAGGTAAGAATCATCCTCTCTCACATCGGCCTCAGCATCAGAGATCAGCTCCCCCACATACCTGTTGGGCAGGAAGTGGTGGGTCTGGCTGAGGTTGGTAAGGCGACCCAGAGGAGCCAGAAAGCATCTGGTGGGTGCCCACCTCCCATCAAAGGGTGGACTCTTGAAGCATGGGGACACACATGTGAGGGGACAATCCAGCTCCCCCTTAACAGCTGGAACAACAGGCAGGACTGGCAGGTGTGGGGGGAAACTCTAGGCAGGTGGGAAAGTTAAAGGGACAGGTTTGAGGCTTGTCAGAGGCAGATTCAAGTGAGCCAGGAGACGGTAAGTCCCTGTGGTTACGCAGATCAGCATCCACAGACAGCTAGTTGAGCAGGGCAATGCACTTGAGTTTACAGGCCAGGTGGCTTATGCACCAAGATCACACAGCTGGTGTGGGTGATGCTGGGCAGAAGGGGAGGGGGCCAGGGCTGCAGAGAGTGCTGGAGCCACAGGAGCCAGCAGGAACTCAGGGAAGGAGCTGGCACGAGAACAGCACACTGAGACAGCAAAGACAGAAGGGGACTGGTGCCGGAGGAACAGGTCAAGGAGGTGGGGTCAGGGTTCTGGGAACCAGTGCTGTCTAAGTGGCTGGGGTGGGTGGCAGGGGAAGGAGGAGGACTGCTAAGGGGCAGCATGTCCAGAGGGCGAGGGCAAAGGCTTATTTTGGCAGGTACAGGATGGTGGAGCCATGGAATCCCATGATGAAGGGGAACATTTCTCTGAGAAGCTGAGAGGACATGAAGCAGGACAATTAGACTGCCCCTTGAATAGGTAAGCTACCACCACTGCCACCAGTTACTATCAAGTTGATTCCAAAGTAAGGTAATGCTATGTGTGTCAGAATAGAACTATGCTCTGCAAATTTTCAATGGCTGAGTTTTGGGGAGAAAGTCATGAGGCCTTTCTTCTGAGGAACCCCTGAGTAGACTCAAACTGCCAACCTTTTGGTTAACAGCCAGGCCCAATAAAGATTTGCACCACCCAAGGAGTCCTGAGTAAGCAAGCAGTGAGAACTAGGTTAAGTTTGAAGGCTCCACGGGAGGAGTCAGAGGAAAAGGGCAACTGCAGAGGGTGGGCAGAGAAAGAATTTATGGAGACAAGGTCCCTAAAAAACAAAAAATAAAAAAGACTGAAGGGTAGTTTTCTCAATAAGGCTCAAGGAAGTGCAGTGATTGTCCAAGGACACAGTGCCAGAGGTGCTAAAACACAGGCCTGCCTTTTAAGTAAGTGCTTTTTTTCTAGCTCAAAGGACAAAGAAGGTGTTTAAGGCTCAAAGATACATGGAGGTGAAGAGAAGTAGGCATGGTGATGGAAGCTCAGGGCTCCAGGTAGTGAAAGCACAATCCTTGGCTGTGGGCGGGGGTCATGCATCCACTCCTCATCCCCAGCACACTCACTCGCAGATGAAGGTCCCCTGAGGAATGGTCTGCAGGGCGCGGACCCCCCAGCCCATCTTGGCTGTCCTGTAGAGCTGCAGTCGTACCCTGGGGGAAAAAGGGAGAGTGACACTGAAGGCAGAGGTCTGAAAAAACCCCAAGGTCAGGAAAAGGGTGCCTCAGCACTCTCTGCTAAGAAAGGGGGTGAGGCAGGTGTGGGTGGGCTGTGGGGCAAGGCTTCCTCACTTGATGCCGCTCTGCACCACCCGGTTCTTGCAGTTCCTCCAGCAGGAGCATGCCTGGTTACACTCAAAAATCAGGGGAGGTTCAATTTTGTTAA